CAAAACGAAAAAGTATGCTATTGGCTTCAATTGAACGAATATATTTCATATCCATTCTAGGTAGTGAGAACACTGCAAAAAAATTAAATCCATCAATCACAGTTCATATTTTGATCAATAGACTATTATTTTTAAAATTTTTAATAATTACCAATTCTGTCAAACTAATTGTCAGTATATTTTTTAGTTATTGTGATTAAACATAGATTAAAATGAGTTATTCTTGTGTAGAATCGATAAATAATAGAATTTATACTTTTATTTCGTCTATAATTATAAAAAATTTGTTAATTTAAATAAAACTATATGAATTCAATTTAATTACGAGTATTAATGCAAAAAAAGCAAATGCGTAAATGGTCCTGTGGTTAGGATTCTTGCCTTCCACATGGATGACTGGAGTTCGTTTCTCGGATGGGGAAAAATGAAATGAAAGTTTTTTCTTTTTCTTCGTTTATTTTATTTTAAAATTTATTAAAATTCATAAATTATTTTAAAATTAGTTATTTTGTCTTAATAACCTAAAGTCTTTTTTATTTGTAAATTTTCGTTAGTGGGTCGTAGAAAAAATATTCTGTACAACTCGAGTGGATTGTCCACATCGCACCCAGACGATTAAGCACTCTGCCTACGGCGACGTGCTCAAATTTCGTCTTCGTGCGATATGGCTATCATATCCACTCTTTTTGCACAAACTACTATTCTTCGATGGATATTAGTAAAAGTAAGAAATAAAAGTTTGTTCGTTAATTCACTGAAATTTAATTTAATAATAAAAGTGTTACCTATAACTTCTAACAGACAACTCTTTTTGAAAGAAGTTTTCAATACAACATATATTACCTATACAATCCTCTGCCACAAAATTATAAAATTTTAAATCCAATTAAATTTAAAAACGAAATAACAAGGTTAATACTCGATTAAAAAAATTTGAATTGTTTTTGAATAGTGATTCCTTTTTTTTCTGAGTGACCCATTGCTAAATGTTTATTTTAAGTTAGGTTAGTTTAAGTTAGAATTAGTATTTGTAATTATTAATATTGTTATTTAAAATAGAATAAGGGTTTAGTGGAAGAGCACCACCACAGGTGAACTACCCCTTAAGGTTTCCTAATTTTATGTATTATGTAATTCCTTACTATATTTATTTAGATACTTGGAAATAAAGACATTTTATTATTATTATTATTATTATTATTATATTTGCCAAAACTATATTTTTTCTCGAAACTGCAGGAAAAACAATTGCCTTTTTTTTAAGCAAAATAATCGGTTTACTTTAAATAGAACACCCTATATTTTTTCATAATATCTGAAAGTCTATTTCTTCCTCTTTTTAAAAAGGTATACGTTGTGATAATTTATTTAAGGTTTGGAGGAGATATTTTTTTATGCATCTATATTAAAAACATGTTTATTCATTTGATATAATTTTTATGGGTGTATTTACTGGTTAGCTTTAAATAAAAAATAATCTGATATTCCTGTAATCAACTGTATCCTTTTTCCAAAGCTGCCCGACCTATCGAGGATTTAGCGCAACAACCACGTAACCAGTGTTCTGATAGTTTTGAGATAATTGCGCTTAAAAATGATCGCTGGTCAAAAATATTTTAGTATGTAATTTAAAAATAAACTCTGACCATTTTTTATGTGCAAAAAAAACCTTAATCCGTTTACTGGCATTATTAATAGACATTTTTGACCAGCGATCATTTTTAAGCGCAATTATATCAAAACTATCAGACACAGGTTGCGTGGTTGTTGCGCTAAGTCCTCGATATTAGAGACCGTGTTATCAAGGTGGCTTTGATAAAAATATAACTGACATTAAGAAACGTCAAATAATTTATGTGAAGTAGATCAAGAACGAGCACACTCAAATTTATTAATCGACAATGTTAAAAAGGCCATTTTTTTTTCAGCAGTTTCGGGGAAAAATGTACATTTGGCAACTATGTCAACAAAAACAAGCATAATAAGCTTTTAGCGAAAACTGCACGTCAATATCGTTTTACTTTCTTGAGTTATAAGCTGTTTAAATGTGTTACTTTACTCGTATAGTGGGACACCATTTATTATGTTGTTCAATTCAATTCATAATAAGTGCATTTGTAAGTACATTTCAAATATAAAAAAAAATGTATTTAATAATAATAATTTTTCGAAGAATTTCTTTACGGTAGGTATCTACAGTATGTTCGAAATAGAGACGCATGAATAGTAAATTGGCTTTTGAGGTTTTATTCTTTAATTGTGTGAATTATTAATTGTTTAATAATTTCGGTAACATATGTAAAAAAATATTTTATCGATATTAGTGATTTTAAATTAATCTTTTAAAAACTTGAACTTGATTTTGAATTATTATCAAAGTTTAGTAGACTAAGTAGATACTTAGTATTATTTAATTGTATCAGATGATCTCAAAAGTATTTATCTTATCATTTGTGAATATACAGGCTGGGCCACTTATGTCCATTAAGAATATAGCACCTAAATTATTATATTTAAAAAATCGGCAAAAGTGCAAGTCGTAACCGTAGTTAAATTTAAATTACGATCTAATTTACTAGTATTCAAACAAGTACATTAGTACAACCTATCGATATACCAATATATATACTTTATTTATATTTTACTGCCTAGTTTTTTATTTGATAGTGCTCAATGATTTACTGATAATCACGTCCCGAATGACATGATAGTACAAATTCAATATTATTACATAACACACCAAAGGAGGTACATTTATACCACAGAACCAGGTATCACGTTCACCAAGTTTTATTTAATTCTATATTTGATGAATTATCCTTTCATGACTGATATAAGCGGAGTTAAAGAAATGATTTAGAAAACTGGTTAAAGGTTCTTGTATTCCTAAATTTTGGGTAGGCTCGCCTACAATTCAAAAATGCTCGGAGTGTCTCCTGACATGTTATCCCTAATCCCTAGAGATTAAATTATTATAGGGTTAGTTTATGGATAAAAAAATTATTACCTGGATAATTATTCGACTATACAGGGTGTTTCCGAACTTGGCGTCCAAATTTGTAGGGGTGGTAGTTCGCATAATTTGAAAGCGATTGGCAGTTTTCATTTTTCTAAAAAAATTATAATAAACAAAATAGAGCCATTAAAAAAAATCAAAGAGCAGGTTCTACCCTGAGCGCGTAGCGCAATAGTCCTCAAAAACAGATGCGATTTGCAATTTCGTCGATTCTAAGCGTAGCGCGCGCGAGTCGAGACAATCCTATCGTTGTGCAGGACCGTACCTGTTTATAATTTTTAATTAATTTTAAATTATTTTTATTTTAAATATTTTGGAAAAATGAAAATCTGCGAATCGGTCTCAAATTATGCGAACTACCACCCTTACAAATTTGGACGTCAAGTTCGGAAACACCCTGTATAGGGTGACTGCACCATAACCACAGAACAACTATCATTGTAATTTTCGTAAATGGAACAGCATGCATTTTATTTTATTATTTGATTTGCATGATAATAGGCTTTTTTTTAAATTTTGCGGCGGTGTCGGTTAGTCTAAGACATATAGTATTTTTTTTTTTCTGAAAAATTGCTAGTTTATAAAAACTGCCACAAAATTTAAATTCATTATAATTTTTCGAAATTGTTCATAAAATTTACACGCTAGACAGTAAACTCATGTGAACATCTACAATTTTGTGAACCGCATACTGAGCGTTTACGATGAAGGGTAAACCGCATGCCAACATTTGTACACCTTATTCCCTTTTATTATTCAATTTCAATAAATATCCAATATTTTAAATTTATATAACTCCTTTTTTTATTAATGGAACACTATTTTTTTTTCGTTCTTTAAATATGTACATAAATTGATTTTAAATGATTTAATAAAGGAAGGAGAAATATATTATTAAATTTCTTCATCATTTCTACACACTTCAAAATACATTTTTTTTTTATTTCACAACAACCAATGTGTACACATCTCTCTTCCTCTCTTGAATTCTAAAAGATAATTTTAAGTACCTAGACATCACACTATTCAATGACAGCGGGGGGCATAATATGAATTAAAAGAAAAAGTTATGATTTTCTGATTTTCATGGCAATTAAACATTCTTTAAAAATAAAATTTTACAGAAACTCACTAAACTAAAAGTTTATGGTACAATAGTAATATCAATGTGGATTTATGCATGTTATGATAATTTCAAATAAAGAAGCGAAGACATTAAGAATTGCAGAGAGAAATTGGAAAAATATTAGTATCAGTAAAAATAGATGAAATCGAATATAGACAGATAAACAACCATTAAATATTGCAAGATCTAGAAGTAGACGTAATAAAAAATTCTTAGCCGAAAACAACAAATTGCTAGGGCATATTTGGCGAGTGAAGGACGAAGGAATAATAATGAACTGGGATGATCGAAATTAATTCTAAAAAAAGAGATTGCTATTGTTAGGAAGGTTAATGAAAAAGATATTGCAATGGTTAGGAAGAATAATGCAGAATAGATTGCAATTGATAGGAAGAGATGGAACATTATTTGCAAAGAAGTAGAATACATCTTAAATGAGGACTAATACATCCCGAGAAAAAAACAGAAAATTTTTAAAAGTAGCGCTATGAGTGATGTTAAGTCACATACATACATAATACATACTTCCTGTACTTTATAATTTGTTGCCAAATAAAATAAAAATCTACCAATTAAACAATTTAATAGATATGAAACAATTAAAAGAGTATCTGCCTTTTAAAATAATTTTTAATATTGATATTATTTAATTTTGTTTGTTTTTGTTTGTTTGTTTAAATAATAGATATATTTTATATTTTTTTGGGATTAATATTAATTTTTGACTGATAAATAAATAAAAAAAAAATTTCTAAAATATATCCACTTACACTGTTATCTATAATAAGCTAAATGCCAAAATTTTTATTCAAATTTGAAAAATTATCACTAATACATTTTGAATGTATTCTAACTTACATCAGTCCTATTAACACTCTCCAACAATCTAACAACGTGCGTCACAACATGGTCCAAAATTGTATTTCCACTTGTACAAACCACCCCCAAAATTTTAACTTCTCCGCTTTTTTCAAGATTTATTAAGTAAAGCAATGCTAAATAATCATCGGTGCCCACATCGACATCTATAATCAATTTCTTCATCTTTAAAAAAAATATATCTCATAAAATTTAACCTATTTGAATTGTCTAAAATACACGAACTAAAGTAGCCGAAAGCACTTTGTTAAATAGATAAATCGAATTGACCGTGAATTTAATAACTTAGACACTACCAGGAAAGCTTTGATTAGAGTACTAAAACATTATTAAACAAACGGTTATCTTTAATGAATATGTAAACATGACAATCTACCGGAAAACTTTTGTTTGTACATTATTATTTTATTTTCAAGCTGTATAATTTCTACTATATTTCGAGAATACGAGGTCTAGTTAAAAAAAAACTACAGTAGAGCGTCGATAATCACGACGTCAAAAATCAGGACCCTCAATAATTGGAATTCATACATATTTGTCAAACAAAAGCGTTGATACGGCTGGCTGAGCGGAGTCGCCTTAACCGCTACAAAATGTATAAACTGTACAGTATTATGTAAATTTAAATATAATTAATACTAATTAATGGTTTTATTTACCTGTTCAATTATTTAACCCCAAAAGTGAATTATTAAGGGTTTTAGCAAGTTTTATTTTTGTTATGAACAACCTTTTTTGATTCTTTTCGAAAATTCAGACATTTTAATACTCCGGACGAGTTTCGATCACAATTAATCCGTATTATCGACGCTCTATTGTATTAACAAACTAAAAAGACGGTTCACCGTCTAGGGATTAAAACACCTACTCTACTACATTGCATTAACCAGTAGTAGGGTCCGCCTTAACGAAATTCTTTTATAGTATCACTATTAAATAGTAGCTCTATAATATTTTATATTTATATATTATTGATATTGTATTGCTGTTTCTTCTGGAATATTGATTTGTTATACTAAAATTACATAAACCACTATTTTGTTTCCTGAAACTGATTTTTTTTGTAGTATTTTCTACACTATTCTTATAGAAAAATTATAAAATAGTTAAAATTATAAAGTTGTTATAGAAATATATGTTATCTATTTTATATATACCATTTCAGCTTATGAAAATAAATTATTTATTCTAATTTAGACATATATCTTTTTTAATCGCATCAAATGTCAAAACGATCTACTTTGTGCAACTAGTTGCTAACCAATTAACGTCTTAGCTTGCTCTTCAGAGATTGTGAACAGGGCCGCCGAGAGCCAGGCCGGGCACCAGGACAGTTCTCTAGATCGGGCCCCGTGACAAAAAAAATCTTGAACAAAAACTTTTACTCTTCTACTTAAAAAAAGGTCGTCAACTCAAAAAAACTTTTTCTCCTCTACTTGAATTACTTTTTCTAAAAAAAAAAAAGTTCCTCAACCCAAAAAAACCTCAAGCCCTAAAACTTAACTTCAGAACTAAAAAATCCTGTTGTCGGGCCCCCCTTATAGCGCTGCCGGGCCCCCATTTGAGTCCGGGCCCCGGGAATTAGTCCCGGCTACCCCCTCCTCTAGTCGGCCTGATTGTGAAGTTCTCACGGGAAGATAAAATAAATAAAATTAAGGATTTGTACAAATCGATGATCAATCCAATATCTACAACTTTCTGTTTTTGTTTTTTACTGACTGACTACTTTGATGTAGGGTTGAATCCTTTTCTAAAAGGTAAATAAGGACAATCCTCGCTGTAGGCGCCGCCTAAGTGCCGCCGGAGTCAAAAAATAATTTATTGTTTATTTTTTAAGTATATTTTTTGTTTTACTTAGCTGTACCAAAAAATTTTTATCATCTTTAATTAAATTTATGATTTTTTGAGTTTCGTTTATTCTTTATTTATCAACAGTTCAGCCCAAATTAGTTCCAAAGAATATTTGAAAACGAACGGACTTTAGCCTTTAAGGGCGGGCGTGGGCAATGTATTTAACATAGGCATACACAACGCTCTTTCAATGACTTTTTAGCTGAAACTACAACAAAGATAAAAGTGAAAAAATTCCTGCCGATAATAGATATATACTACTGTTCAATAAAGGTTTTTGGTGTCCCTAACTGTAAGGGATCGTTTAAAAATAATTCTCAAAATATGGTAATTTTTACGATGAAATAAAGCTAAAAATATACCAGTAATAATTACCCGATGATGAAAATAATTCTTCTTTGAATAGGCTATATACTAAAGCAACAAATGTCACTTAAAATATCTAAATCAATTGCCTCAATTTTCTTAAAAGCTCATTGAAGTAAATTTTGGAATAAATTATAAATCGCCATTTATGTGTAATAATTGCCTAAAATATAAAAGAAAACTTCCTAAAAATTCATACAGTAGCCACATGTTAATTCGGAGCTTCTCTAATAGATGGCGCTAAAGTCGTCTTGAATAAAAATAAAAATAAATTCAAATATGCAGGTCCTTATTTAGGAGTTTACTAATATGTATATCATTTCAATTATTAAGTTGATTTGTATTCGATTTTTTTAATTTTGTAAGAATTAAACATATTCAATATTTGCGTAAGAGCATGAAGGATATGTAAGTAATGAGAGAAAGCCTCAACTGTATACTTTGAGATCGGAAAATGTCTGTACGGAGATGGTAAAAATTTATTGCTTGCTTATTTTGTTGGATACTGGAGCCTAGGTGTTAATGATACTTTTAATTGTTTTATAAAATTGAATATTTCAAATATTCATACAAATCTAATATGCTTAAATGTATTTTTTTTTTCAAATTAGGTTTTAACTTTCATGTATCCAGTAAAGTATAGCATTGCTTTTTTTTCGACTTGTAGTTTTCAACTGTACTTTAGGTTTTGACGATAATTCAAAAATCTGATGTGTCCAACACATGACTTTCCTATCTAGTTATTACAGGCTTTTTCCGGTTATTTTGTACAACCTATTGCAGCATCTCTATAAATGTTTAGAGGATGAACTAAATATATACATTGTCCACATACATCTAGCGCGAAACATTTTTCTATAGATATTCATTGAAAATGAAAATACTGAAAAATTTAAATTTAGCACTTTTCCTACAATTTTTCCATTACGGTCCATTTTAAAAAAATCATGTATGAACAAATATTATAGAGATCGATATCGCAAACAACTTTTATTTCAACAATTTTCATAAAAATCAGAATTTTGCACATTTTGTCAAATTTTTCGAATACGGACCATTTCAGGAAATTTTTACATAAAGCAAAAATTATAGATAATAATATTAGAAGTAACTTTTATTTGAACAATTTTTTTCTCCAAACATAAATAACAGATATATTCCTTAAAATATAAAAACGGCCTCCCATAAAGTACCCCCCCAGATGTTCCGACTTGGTCCAAAATCTAATCATTTTACGTCAGGCCGAAATAAAACTTAAGTTTAAAATTTAATGTTTTTTTCTGTATCCGTTTTTGAGTTTTCTTCAAATTTCGAAATTTACACATTTTCTCAAATATCTCGAATACGGTCCATTTTAGAGAAATTACCTATGGGATAAAAATTATAGAGAATTATATTACAAACAACTTTTGTTTAAACAATTTTTATAAAAAAAAATATTTTTTTACATTTTGTCAAATTTCGCGAATACGGACCATTTTAGGAAAATTTTGTATATAACAAAAATTATAGATAATAAAATAAGAAGTAACTTTCATTTGAAGAATTTTCTTCCCCAAACGTAAATAACAGATATATTCCATAAAATATAAAAATGACCACCTATAAAGTACCCCCCCAGATGTTCCGACTCTGCCCAAAATCTAATCACCTCATAAGACGCTGGAACAAAGCTTAAGTTTGAAATTTGGTGTTTTTTCGTGTATCGGTTCATGAGTTATGCGTTATACAGACACACACACACACACACACACACACACACACACACACACACACACACACACACACACACACACACACACACACACACACACACACACACACACACACACACACACAGACATCATCGCGAAAATAGTCAAAACGGATTCAGGGGACCTCAAAACGTAAAAATCCGTCGAAAACTCGAGGTCGAAAAAAATCATGATTCCTATACTTTCCTTATATCTGTATACAGATAGGAAAGTAAAAATGAATAAACAGTAAATTTTAAACTTCAAATTTAATCTAATAAAAGCTAATAAAAGTTATATAGATTTGAAAAATAGATATTTTAAAAATATTTTTGGATATACAGGGTATTGCGTTTTTCCTGGCAAATAAAAATGTACATTTTTTAGATAGAATACCCTGTATTTTATTTTTAGAATATTTTAGTAATACTGTATTCAATACTAGAATATTTTTATAAAATATTACACTATTGCCAAGCATTAATTTTTTTTGAAATTAGAGAATGATGCAGACCGCAAATTAAATTATCATAATTTAGGTAGGTTTACATTGATCTCAAAATTGTTTAATATACAGACTTACAAGATACTAAGCTAACGAATAGTGGAGATAGAACTGATTTTAAGTTCAATTTACGCAATTTTTTAAAATGCATCATCGTGTATATTATCTTATCATAAAATTCTTTACAAATTTGTCTATACAACGATACCAATAGTTAGCCAATAACGCATATTTGATAGATAGCTGTTTTATTATTAGAAATACGACGAAATTTTTAATATAAAAGTTGTATGATTATATTTAACAATTATTCCTAAATATACAGGGTGGTCCATAAACGAGGTGCGAACCAAATCTATACTTTTTAAAAGCAAAACACCCTGCAGGTTGTTATACTAATTTTGTTTTCTCATCGTCAATCAATTTTAATAAAATTAACTTCATTAATTTGCTATGTTGTATAGGGTGTGTCAAAACGTGAGGTTACGATTTTCTCAATTTTGTAAATGGACCCTGTATTAATCAATTGGTGGTATAACATATAGGGTATTCCATTTAAAAAAATTGAGAAAATTGAAAATTTTAACACACCCTATATTCAACATAGCAAATAAATGAAGTCTATTAAAATTGATTGACGATGTGAAAACAAGCAGATATGGCTCAGTCCCTCGTTTATGTAACACCCCGTATATTTAAGAATTTTTATTAAACACGGTCAAACAACTTTATTATTTTTGTGTTTCGTATTTCCAATATTAAAACAGCTATTGATCAATTACGCACTAATGGGACACCCTGTATTTGTGTTATTGGCTAACATGTTGGTATCGTTGGATAGGTAAATTTAAAGAAATTTTATGCTAACATTTTGCATTTGAAAAAATTGACGAAATTTAACTTAAAATTGGTTATATTTAAGACATAAAATAAACCAATTCTATCACCACTACTCGTTAGCTTAGTATCTTATAATTATGTATTTGAAACAATTTTGAATCATTGTAAACCTACCTAAATTATGATAA